CACTGAAATTGGAAAATTTTGTTCAAATTTTATATGTAATAAATCATAGATTTCTCTATTTCGACTTCTATAATTTGCATATTTCATCACCTATGAGCCGATCTACAATTTATATTTTTTCTGACAGCCCCCTTATGGGATTTTGCCTAATAACAGTTCTTTGAAACGCAATGATAAAATTGATGATCAAATATACTTAAAAATTATAAAGGATGTTTTTTTTTAAATGAGAGTCATAAGTCAAATTTAAGACTTTATGTTCCACATAATTATATTTCAAGATATTTTATTATTTTTATTGTATTATAATTTATCGAATTAAATGTTTGGACATTTTTAGTATAAATTAGTTGCTATTGAAGAAATAGACCTTTGCCAATTGTATTCACTAAAACCACGAATTAATATTAGAAAAATAAAAATTCATTTAACACTACCTTGCAAAGTTGAATGATTATAAAAAAACCTACTAATATATATTACTTTTAATTCTTCAATTACTGACAACATTACTAAAATATATAGAAGTTTATATAGTGAGATGAGAGAGGCAAATATTAATAATTCAATTTACACATAATCTGAATTAGATCATATTTTACTTAGCTTTAATTTGTTTTTATATTTTATATCGATTTAATATCAAACCTATTTATTCAGGAATTTATTATGAATTTATTTTTTTTTAATTAAGCCTAAGGTAATTGCAAGGAATATTTAATTCAATTTCAAATTGCTTATTTACTCGTAATCTTTGGGTAAATTTTTGTATACACCAAAATTTGATGTAATCTCAATTGAAGATTTTCGGAATTTCGTTGGTTTAGCAAATTTAGTATAACCTTGAAATAGAGGACATGGTTTAGGCTAAGATAGGTTCAAAGTTTGGGAGGTTCGTCAAAAAGCAAAATGTATTAATTTTGAAGCATCCCTTACCTAGTAGGACCCTGGTATCCTTCTTTGTCATAAAATATAGGGAAAATGGGTTTTTGGAATCTTTGTTTTTTTGGTCTCACAAACGCAAAAGGGAAGACTAGACCATAGCCAAAATAATCATATTTGTGACTAATTCCCCCCTAAAAAGGGATCACTGAATTTGATTGTGGTTCAGATGGGATGATTATTTTATTAAATATTCATAAAGAAATCAAAAGTTTAGGAGAGTTGTTACTATTATAATTTGCATCAACTCCAAATATTAATAAGTTTGTTTCTTACCATCCTTAAAAATACATGATATATACTGTTTTCTTTAGTATAAAACTAAAATAAAGTAATAGAAATTCAATATTATATTTAAAAAAGAAAGAAAAAATGCTTCATTACGATTTGTTATGTGAGTTAAAATCCCTTGAAGATATAGATACTTAAATATTCAATTTGATAATTGAAATGCTCATAAAGGAAAGAGTTTCAGATTCTCTAAAATTTCTTTCAAAATATTCTTCTCAGCTTCATAATGATGAATAATTTTTTTTAGTTGACGGTTTAGAGCCTTTTCAAAAGTGGTGGAAACTAGATGCACTTAAAAGTAACATTAAGAAAATTACAAATATTCTCCAATATATTGCTGAGCATGACTTTAATAAAAGTAATTATTCATCGATAGTTTATAAATCAATGAAAAATATTCTCATTAAAAAGATATCAAAGAAAGAGAAGATCATCAAGTTTTTTTAATTTCTAGTAAACCTCACAAGTATAGATGATAAATTCATTTAAGGTGGATCAAATTCTCTTCATTTATTAGTTGAAATGAAGGTTGATTTGAAGCAACAATCTTTTGAAAATATTAGGATTAGAAATACTTCTTTAAAAGGAGCAAATTTAGTAAGATGTGACTTAAGCGGATCTGAATTTGATAACGTTATTATTAGTGGAACAAACTTAAGTTCTGCAAAATTATTTAATTGTAAATGGATAAATTTAAGGATTAATGAGGAAATTAAGATAAATTGTAATAATTTTAACGTCAAATCATTTTGCTTTACTCCAAATAGTAAATCATTAATTTATTGCAGCTCTTTTAATAAGCCCATTCGATTAATGGATATTAGAACAGGAAAAATAAACACTTTAATAACTAGAAAAAAGAAAATATAATCTATATTTAATTCTCTTAATGGCACTGTAGTAGCTTCTTACGGAGATAATTTCATATATTTATGGAGTCTTAGAACAGGAAAATATATCAGAAAATTAACTGCCCATGAATCTAATTTAAAAGAAAGGTGTTTCTCTTCTGATGGTAGTACATTAGCATCTGTTAGTGGATAATTGTTTGATAATAACTCTATTCAAATATGGGAAGTGAAGACGGGATTATAAAAATTCATATTATAAGGTCTTGATGTTTGTTCTATATGTTTATCTCCTGATGGTTCTACATTAGCATCTAGTAGTTATGATAACCCTATCTGTTTATGGGATGTTAAGACAGGATAATAAAAGGCAAAATTATATGGTCATTCAAGAGCAGTTTATTCAATTTGTTACTCTCCTGATGGTACTACATTAGCATCTGGTAGTGCAGATAACTCTATCCGTTTATGGGATGTTAAGACAGAATAATAAAAAGCCAAATTGGATGGTCATTCAAATGTAGTTACTTCAATTTGTTACTCTCCTGATGGTACTACATTAGCATCTGGTAGTGATGATAAGTCAATCCGTTTATGGGATGTTAAGACAGGAGAGAAAAAAGCATAATGGGATGGCTTTGATCAATCAATCAGTTTTTCTCCTGATGGAACTACATTAGCAACTGGTAGTATCTTTTTATGGGACGTTAAGACGGTATAAGAAGAAAACAAATTAGATGGTCATTAAAATTCAGTTTTCTCAGTCTGCTTCTCTCCTGATGGCAATAAAATAGCATCTGGTAGCTCAGATAAATCCATCTGTATATGGAATGTTAAAACAGGAGAATAAAAAACCAAATTAATTGGTCATACTGATTATGTTCGATAAATCTGCTTCTCTCCTGATGGTTCTACATTAGCATCTTGTAGTGATGATAATTCTATCCGATTATGGGATATAATGACAGGAAAATAGAAGGCCAAATTAGATGGTCATGCTCATTTTGTCTATTCTGTTTGTTTCTCTCCTAGTGGTACTACATTAGCATCTGGTAGCTATGATAAGTCTATCTGGTTATGGGATGTTAATACAGGATAATAAAATGCCAAATTAGATGGTCATACTCATTTTGTTAATTAAGTCTGTTTCTCTCCTGATGGAACTACTTTAGCATCTGGCAGTTCAGATAAGTCTATCCTTTTATGGAATGCTAAGACAAAATAAAAAGGAGCTGTACTAAATGGACATGAAAGTTCAGTTCTATCAGTCTGTTTTTCTCCTGATAGCACTTTATTAGCATCTGGTAGTGTAGATGTGTCTATCCGTTTATGGGAGGTTAAGACAGGATAATAAAAAGCCAAATTAGATGGTCATTTAGGAACAGTTTATTCAATTTGTTACTCTCCTGATAGTACTACATTAGCATCTGGTAGTGAAGATAGGTCTATCCGTTTATGGGATGTTAAGACAGGATAATAAAAAGCCAAATTAGATGGTCATTCAAGTTTGGTTTATTCAGTTAACTTCTCTCCTGATAGCATTACGTTAGTATCTGGTAGTGATGATAAATCTATCCGATTATGGGATATTAAGGCAGGATAAAAAATTTTACCTTTAGATATTCGTTACAAAGATATTCTATCATAGTTTTAGCAATGTATTTATTTTTGTTATCCTTTTAGCTATCTCTAATATTACTATTCTTCGAATTTCCTAGAATCCCATTTTTCAAGCTCAATCAGCCTTAATCTTGAAAGGAGAATTTCGAAATTATTAAGGCTTAGATCTAAGACCATTATTCAAATCAAAAGGAAGTTACATTTTAGAAGACTGTGTTTGATTATGCTAATATTAAAATAAGGCAATAAAAATGACAAAATATATTTCTATTTTGTGTAATAAAGAGAAGTGTAATGTTTAAAACTTACAATTATATTTTTTCTTAATATTAAATAGATATTTTATCTGTTAACCTAAAAAGTAATATATGAATAACTGCTTAGATTTTTATTTCAAATAATATGTAAATTATTAATCAAAGAAAATTTATTTTTAATTGTTAATTAATGGACAAAAAAATACATAAACAATGCGAAATTTTTACCTGCGAAAATGTATTTTGTTAATTTTAAATGAGCTATAAATTATTGGATGAATATCCAATATTTAGAATCAAGGATAAAAAGTAGATATATATATCTATTGACAATTATAAGAAAGTTTTATTAAATAATTAGCACATTATTATTTACTAATATAAATCTTTGGGGAGTAGTAATTATTCAAGACGCTGAAATCAAAATCAAACATATAATACTATTTAATGCCGATATTTAGTATTCGATATTTATCAAATATTAATAATAAAAAAGGAAATGGACAACGTACCATATATTATATTGTATTAAATTATTATTATTAT